ATAGGCCATGTACCGCATACAACCATAACCCCCCATAATCTTTCACTCAAAAAACCATAACTCTACCAATATATCCTACCTTCTATCCAACCCACAAGTACCTTAAATATCCCATACTCTACCACCCATAATAACCACATAATCCTGACCCTGTCCAAACCACCCATACATGTAGGTTTACATACAGACATATGTACATACACACACACAAACAGACACCTGTACACACACACAGACATGTACTTACACACACACACACACACATACACACACAGAAACATGTACACACACGCACAGAGACACATGAACACACACACGTACCGACACATGTATACACACAGACACAAATACATGTACATACACACAGAAACATGTACATACACAGAAATACACACGCACAGACACATGTACATACACACAGACACATGTACATACACACAGACACATGTACATACACACAGACACATGTACATACACACAGACACATGTACATACATACAAAGACACATGTACACACAGACACATGTACATACATACACACAAACACACACATGCACACACACATGTACATGCACACAGACACATGTACACACACAGACACATGTACAACCACACACACATACATGTACATACACGCAGACACATGTACAGATACACACATGTACATACACACAGACACATGTACATGCAAACACACACAAAACACACACAGACACATGTACATACACACAGACACATGTACATACATACACAGACACATGTACATACACACATACACATGTACATACATACAAAGACACATGTACACACAGACACATGTACATACATACAAACAAACACACACACATGTACATGCACACACACATGTACATGCACACACACACACGTACATGCACACAGACACATGTACAACCACACACACACATACATGTACATACACGCAGACACATGTACAGATACACACATGTACATACACACAGACACATGTACATGCAAACACAGACACACACAAACACACACACACAGACACATGTACATACACAGACACATGTACATACACACAGACACATGTACATACATACACAGACACATGTACATACATACACAGACACATGTACATACATACACAGACACATGTACATACACACAGACACATGTACATACACACAGACACATGTACATACATACAAAGACACATGTACATACATACATACACACAAACACACACACACACACACACACACACACCTACACAGTACATACATGCAGACACATGTACAGATACACACATGTACATACACACAGACACCTGTACATGCAAACACAGACACACACAAACACACACACAGATACATGTACATACACACACACACAGCCCTATAAAAAGTTGCAGTAGTTCATTACCTTCACTCACAGAGCCGGGTACTGCACTATAGGGAGAGGGAAGAGAGAGAGCACAGCACACACGCCTTCTTTTGCTTTCACTTTGCTCAACTATTGAGCAGTCTGACGGCTCCCATTGCGAATGACAGATCCAGCCTGAGTTCCGAGCCTGCTCAGCAAGACGGCCCTGGGGACACACTCGCCCCTAACATAATTTCCACTATTTGCGAGCTGGCGAGTGGAAATTTCAAGGCCTGATATATATAATATATATATTATTTATCATTTTAAAAGAACATATTCCACACTTCTTTTTTTAAAATTTTCTAAACAAAGAAAAAAAAAACGGCTTGAGAAAAAAAAACCTTTCTTTTTCGATTTCTCTTTTTTTTCCCCAGGTCTCTAAATTTGAGAGATGCCATTTTTTCAAACTGGAACAACCATCACTGAACAGGGGTTGGGGCTTTCGGCTGCATCTGTCTTCCACATATAAAGCTATTTTAACATCTCCACCCTGGTGTTTTGACAAAGATTCATACCTTCAGCAGTGTAAATTGAAGAAATAACATTTTTTTGAAGGCTTCCTTACACCAAGGATGGGATTGTAACTAGTACAGAATGGTTCCACAATTTTCACAACTCCCATCCTGTCCTTAGACAATAACAAATTAATTGGATCAAGGTGTCACCAATTTGTATAGAAATGCTGGGGTCATTTTCTTACACTCACTAGGACTGAATATGTGGCTTGGACAACCTATAAAATATCTTCAACATCACAGAACTTGTCCAGTTGAATGTAACTAACTACTACTACAGGGCAGCACAGTGGCTAAATGGTTACTACTTCTGCTTGGCAGTACTAGGGTCATTGGTTTCGAATCCCAACCACAGCACCACCTGCCTGGAGTTTGCATGTTCTCCCTGTGTATGCGTGCGTTTCCTCCAGGTACTCCGGTTTCCTCCCACACTCCAAAGACATGCTGTTAGGTTAATTGGATCCTGTCTAAATTGGCCCTAGTATATGTAGCGGAGGAAATTAATCCTATTTGTGACTGCTGTAACCTGCTGACTTGCATCTGCTCTGAACCCTGACACTTGCACAGTGAGGGATGTCAGCCCCTCCCTTCTCCACTCAGACTGTAATAGAGAGAGTGAGCCAATCAAAAGAGCCATTAAAGGAGCCAATGACAAGGACTTTCTCAAGCAGGAGGTGCAGCTGCAAAACATTGTGGAATATGTAGTCCTGAACAGAAATGGCCTGATAGGCTTATATAGAAATGGAACTGCAAAGACCAGCATGCTTAGTGAGAGCAGAGTGAAGGACTCCATCTTGTTTCTCCTGGGGGGAGGCAGTCTGCATGTGGCAAGGTAACAGTTTGGACCTAGCAGAGAAGTGCTTAGGGTCAGTTCACAGCATGCTGAGTTATCTTCATCAGTCAGGGGAACATCCAAACTAAGAGATATGGACCTACAATACAGTGTCTACACTGACAGAGTGAAGCGCTCATCGTGAGGTGACCAGAGGAGCCTGTCATTTCCAGGACAATCATTTGGGCCTTAGTCACAGGATCTGGTGAGAGGGATTTTTGCCCACTGGCAGATGACAGGAATACTGCACACATACAGAGACATTACACTTGCCCATACTCACCAGACACTGGGTTGTGTAGATGGCCATGCTAAACAGACACAGTATTTGCTATGCTATACAAATACTGCCACGGATTACAATTATACTTTACCATAGGAGTTTAAGTGCACCAACGAAAGTGGCTAGCTGAAGATCCCAAGATTCATCCTGTTACCAAGAGACTGAAGTTACTGGTGCCATACGGGCACGCGCATGCGTATTCAGGCCTCTATATCGCATGGTGTGTGAGGGAATATGTCAGGAATGGACTGGCCAGCAATGGTGGGACTCACCTGCCTTATGAGCTGCAGTACCAGGGCTGGCCAGCGGGTGCTCCAGCAATCAGAGACTCAACCTTGCAGCCAGTCCAAACACCTGGAACTGATTATACTGGTGTATTTAAGGGATGGCCAGACCTGCAGACTCTGCCTTGGTGTGTGTTTCTCCTGGGCCCTGTATCCTGTTCCTGCTCCCTGTTCCTGTCTGATTCGTTGCTGACCCTGCTCTGATCCCTGGCTTTGTCTGACCATTCTCCTGCTCCTGATCCCTGGCTTGTCTGACCATTCTCCTCTGCCTGACCCTCTGTACCACGCTGCCCGCTACCTGCTGAACCTGGCTTGTGACCCCGACCATTCTCCGCTTGCTCCCCCTGTACCTACCTGCCTGATTGATATTGACCCGGCCTGCCTGACGACGCTTGCTTGTATGTACTGTTATCTGTGGGTGGTTTGGTTTGGTTTGTTTGCACTTGTTATGTTTTAGTATTGCACTGCGTTTATGATTTGTATTGTTAGTGTTAATAAATTATATTGTTTATAACATATCTGAAGTCTGCGTTTCCCTGCGTCAGTCACACACACCTCTGGTCATACCCGGGAGCCCTGACATTACACCAAGGCCAATCCTGACCAGAAGTGGTGGCTGCACAGGGAAGCCATCTTGGTTTGTTGATGGGAAGGATGGATCTTGATGAGGTTGTGTATTTATATCTGCTAGTGATTGATGACAGAGAGTATGCTTATCAAACTCTGAAGGAGTATCCCAGGGATGAACTGCTAGAATGTATACGGCTCGCTCATGTTCTAGTAGATCAGGGCACAGAATTCTCTGAGGTGCAGCCATTGATTCAGATTTGTGCGGAGTTGGTTTCATCTGGTACCCCCCAAATGCAGGGATGAATTTTTGCCGCCATTTAGTGTCGACCAGGTAGAGTCCCTAGTATGGTTATTAGAGGATGATGTGGATTGCTTCTTGGAGCATTATGCTGCATGTTCACCACAGGTACTAAGAGATTGTATAAACGCAGTGCAGTCATTGACCAGACAGGCTTTGTGTAAGCTCAGCTTTGTTCAACCCATACTGCAGACATGGACAGATTTTTTGCACCCAGCCTCAGTCAGCCTACAAAAACCCCAGTCCTGCTTCTAATCTATTTTCCTCAAAGCTCTATTCCTGCATTCCCAACAGCTCCTCCTGCCCTGCTATCTACCGCATGTCAGTACCCTGTTCCCACTCGCTGCACCTATCCTATCCTGCCTTTAACCCTGTAAAAAGCCCTCTGTAGCAACTGCTCCCTCCTCTGTTCCATCCTCCAGCTCTTCTCTGTCTCCAGCTGCTCCATTCGTTTGCAGACCTGCGTTTACTTGAAGTGCTCCAGTAGTTAAACCAGAAAAAAGCGAAAATTCTTTCCAACCAGTATCATCCTGCCAGTATCCAAACCGGTGAGCCTGCCGTCTGAGAACCTGCCTTCCGTGGTTCAGCCTGGTGCCTCGGCACCCGCACTTCAGCCTGCGGTCTGTACCCAGCCTGATGCCTGTACCCAGCCTGATGCCTGTCTTCAGCCTGATGCCTGTCTTCAGCCTGATGCCTCTCTTCAGCCTGATGCCTCTCTTCAGCCTGATGCCTCTACTCAGCCTGATGCCTCTACTCAGCCTGATGCCTCTACCCAGCATGATGAACTGATCCAGCCTGATGATCCTATTAGGCCAGTTGACTCGATGCCCGCTGTTGATCCAGATGATCCGGTACCTGATCCGGTGCCCGCTGTCGTGCCAATTGACTCAGAGCCTGCTGTCGTACCTGGTGTGACTTGGTGCCCACACTGCCTTGCCAGATGACGCGGTGCCCGCTGGCGAGCCAAATGACCTGATGCCTGGTGACCCAGTGCCCGCTGTCATACCTGGTGACCACGATGCCCGCTGTCGAGCCAGACGATCCAATGCCTGGTGACCCGGTGCCCACTGCCTTGCCAGATGACGCGGTGACCCGCTGGCAAGCCAAATGACCTGATGCCTGGTGACCTATTGCCCGCTGTCATACCTGGTGACACCCATGCCCGCTGTCGAGCCAGACAATCCGGTACCTGATGACCCGTGCCCGCTGTCGTGCCAATTGACTCAGAGCCCACTGTCGTGCCTGGTGACTTGGTGCCCACTGTCTTTGCCAGATGACGCGGTGCCTGCTGTTGAGCCAAATGACCTGATGCCTGGTGACCCGATGCCCGCTGTCCAGAACCAGACGATCCAATGTCTGACCCAGTGCCCGCGGTCATACCAGTTGACTCGGGAGCCCACTGCCTTGCCAGATGACGCGGTGCCCGCTGTCGAGCCAAATGACCTGATGCCTGGTGACCCGATGCCCGCTGTCCAGCCAGACGATCCAATGTCTGACCCAGTGCCAGCGGTCATGCCAGTTGACTCGGAGCCCACTGTCGTGCCCTGGTGACTCAGGTGCCCGCCGCTCCGCCTGGGGGCCCGAGACCTGTCGCTCCGCCTGGGGGTCCGGCGCCCGCCGCTCCGCCTGGGGGTCCGGCGCCCCGCCGCTCCGCCTGGGGGCCTGAGACCTGTCGCTCCGCCTGGGGCCTGAGACCTGTCGCTCCGCCTGGGGGCCTGTGAGACCTGTCGCTCCGCCTGGGGGCCTGAGACCTGGTCGCTCCGCCTGGGGGCCTGAAAACCTGTCGCTCCGCCTGGGGGCCTGAGACCTGTCGCTCTCCGCCTGGGGGCCTGAGACCTGTCGCTCCCGCCTGGGGGTCCGGCGCCCGCGCTCCGCCTGGGGCCCGAGACCTGTCGCTCCGCGCCTGGGGGTCCGCGTCGCCCGCGGCGACGCCGTTCTCGCGCGCCTGGGGGCCCGATGCCTGTCGCTCCGCCTGGGGGCCCGATGCCTGCCGCTCCGCCTGGGGGCCCGATGACCTGTCGCTCCGCATGGGGAGTCCTTGCCACCGCCTGGGGGCCCGATCGATGCCCTGCCTGTCGCGATGTCCGCTGTACCGCCCCGCCTGGGGGCCCGAGACATTTCGCCATACTAAAATGCTCTGCCCGGCGGGGTCCGGGGCCCGATGCTGCCCTCTGGGGCCCGAGTCCAGCCCCCGCCTGCCTCTGCCCGGATGCCTGCCCGCTGCCCCGGATTCCTGTCGCCCGGCGCTGGGGCCTCGCTGTCGCCTTCCCCGGGGTCCTGCCTGGTCGCCCCGCCAGGGGGACCGGCGCCTGTTGATATCGCCCGGGGGCCCGGCGCCTGTCGCTGCCAGCCCGGCCGGCGCCTTGCTGCTCCGCCCGGTGGCCCAGCTAGCCTGACTGCTTTGGAGCCGCGTCCTGAGCTTGCTCCTTGAGGGGGGCGCCTGCTGTCAGGAATGGACTGGCCCGCTGCCAGCAATGCCCGGGTCCAGCCCGATGTGCTTCTGAGTCTGCAGTACCAGTTGCCATACTTGCCAAGCGGGTGCTCCCAATTATTATCAGGAAATCCATCTTACAACCGATGTGCCTCTGCCAGTCCAACACCTGAACTGCCTCTGCCCTGGATGTCCATTTAAGGTGCCTCTGATGGCCAGACCTGCGCAGACTCTGCCTTGGTGGTGTGTTCTCCTGGGCCCCTGTATCCTGTTCCTGCTCCCTTGTTCCTGTTCCTGTCTGTATTCTTGCCTGACCCTGCTCTGATCCCTGGCTTTGTCTGACCCTGGCTTTCTCCTGCTCCTCCTGATCCCTGGCTTGTCTGACCATTCTCCTCTGCCTGACCCTCTGTACCACGCTGCCCGCTACCTGCTGAACCTGGCTTGTGACCCCGACCATTCTCCGCTTGCTCCCCCCTGTACCTACCTGCCCGATTGTTATTGACCCGGCCTGTCTGACGACGCTTGCATTGTATGTACTGTTATCTGTGGGCGGTTTGGTTCTTGGTTTGTTTGCACTGTGTTATGTTTTTAGCATTGCACTGCCATTTATGTTTGTATTGTTAGTGTTAATAAATTTATTGTTTATAACATATCTGAAGTCTGCGTTTCCCTGCGTCAATCACACACCTCTGGTCATACCCGGGAGCCCTGACAGAATAACTTTACCTTGGAAAGTAGCTATTAAGCATCAGTTAGGTACAGTGTTTGTCTATTGGGCTTGTGGTGTCGGAGTTAGAAGGGAGAAGTCTGACAACACAACAGAGAGTCATTCTTCTGCTCTCCTCCTGCTTGACATCATAGAGCCAAATTTATGTAAAGGGGTTTAGACCCACTTTGAGGTCGCCATTTAAGTGTTTTGGCCTCTGCCCTTTGGGGTTATTCACAATTGGAATCCCCTGAAAGCAGCCTGAGTGTAAAAGTGAGCTACAGTGTTCCCTCACGCCACTTCGCGCTTCATGTTTTGCGGCTTCAGTGCTTCGCGGGTCAGCAGCCCACATTTTGGAAAGGAGCGTTGTTTTCATGTTGATGCGCGAGAAAGAAGGATCCCTGCATGTTAACCAAAGAGATAGAGTTGACTCAGAGTACTGTACATACCACGGGCTTTCATAAAGCGGATGCGTGAATAGTGGTTTCAGTGTGACATCGACCAATAAGAGTACAGGTGGATTTATCCCTGTGAGTTGATTGTCTGCGCATCATTGCAGCCTCACCTAGCATCTTCTCTTGTTGTATCTCGCCAGTCTTGTCCATGATGTAATTAGTAATTATAATCTGTAATTAGCACTGACACGTTTAAGTAAATATGTATACAGTACTGTTGTAATTTTTTGTCTTAAATGAGTAAAAGTATGAATACTGTTTACATATTTAAAACATTCTTGTACAGTACCCGCATACACAAAAATTCCTGGGGGCAAATACTACTTCGCGGTTTTTTTCAGCTTTTGCGGAAAGGTTCTGGTCCCCATTAACAGCGAAAACGACGAGGATCACTGTATATTGCTTTTGGTCACAGTATTTGCTGTTCTCTTGATTCACCTAACGTATATCTGTTGTTAATGTTTATTACTTCCCATAGAGGTCTTACATGTAAAGCTGATCTTTGTGTTTATTATAAAGTGTGTGCTTTTTCATTGATCCTTGCACTTACACTATTGCCAGGTGTGTCAGTTGGGGCTGAGACAGTTCTTGGGGTTGAAGCAGGCAGAGTGGCGGAGTGAACAAACCTAAGCAGCCCCTTTGGGGGGTATCGCTACATATATGTATGTATAAATGTAGGTTAGGGACCTTAGATTGTACGCTCCTTGAGGGTTAGGGACTGATATACAATATATAAATATATATATATGTAAATCGCTGCATAAAATTTGACTCGGTGCTATATAAGTACCTGAAATAAATAAATACTACTGGATTTTACAGCAAAAGTGACATTTACAAAAAAAAAAAACTGCTTTCCAGACATTTAAATTTATTCCCTGTCAGCTATTTTTTTTTGCAATAAGCCCCCCTCACCCCCAAATACACATCAGACTCTTAAGCTGGCCATAGATGATGTGATTTTCTCTCCTGGTTGCAGGTGAGAAAACCACTTGATTCCCCCATCCAACACTGACTGAATCCTGCTGGCAATAATCACATGGATGGCTGGTTGTACAACCATAACAAGTTGTGTCACTATCAGCCGGTCCATAGAATGATTGGTCGAACAGCCAGCTTTAGAGTTCCCATGTCAATTAGAAAAAAAAAAAGAGCATTCCTCGGGCAGGTTTTGTTTAGTTAACTGTGTATTTTTTTAAAGTTACTGTTTAAGCTGTAATTGTAATGGGCTGTTTCCAAGGTATTTTTAAAAAAAAATATTATTTTGCTTTTGGTAGATGTCTACCCAGGGCACACCAACCAGCTTCCCAATGCCCTTTGCTTTTTTTTTTCCCTCATAAGGGTTGTCCTGTCTCCAAATAAAACATGACACAGGCATCGGCAACGACTGTTTTACTAAAATGCTTACATACAATAATATTCATAGACTACTAGGGTGTCAAGGATGGCACCACTCTAGCTGGAGGTGGGGGCCCAATATGCCACTCAAGTCCTAGTCTGCCCTGCTGCCTGATGTTCACGTCAAAAGGGGGCATTTACCACAGCAGGGTGGAATTTGTAACTGATGCAGGACTGTAATTTTATTAAACCTGGGCTGAAGGGGTTGTGTACAGTGTATTTTGGGTGCATAGGGTCGATTTTGCATTTTTCTTTAATGAATGTAGTGAGGATCTTGCCACCAAAAAAGGAAGCTCTCATGAATGTGGATCCCGTCAGCATGGCAAATTGCCTGTATGTACCTCTACATCAACCCCTAATATATAAAAAGAATTGGTCAAAAAAAAATTGGTCACAGCAGGTACTTCTTTATTGAGGGAGAATTATCCATAACGTACTGTACAAAGCTTGGTCTGTATATTAAAACACTTTGTACCAAGCGTTTTATCATTTGTATCAGCAAGATAGTCTAAGATTAATGCCCATTAACCCTGTTTAGATGTGGTAGATTATGTGTAATAATGTCTGGCAGTTCCTATTTGTTGTTTTATTAGGGTGAGGAGTAGTTACATTCTCTAAAATTTGATCCTGACGAGAAAATAGCCAGTATAGAACATTAAACCACAAGAGTTTAAAGAGGCATTATCACCCTACAGGAAATATAGACCTAATGCTATATAAAACGCTAAGAACATTTGCCCAGAGAACAAGAAATAATAATGTAGGAGGACAACTACACTGTGTACAAAGTAATATAAAATAACCATCTGCGCACCCAACTATCACAAATATCAAAGAAATTTTTCTTAATGGCAGCCAACCCCACCTCTATTATCCTTAAAGGATATAAAATTTATGTTATTATCAACGATGAGCTGGCTTGCTATTTTCACTATTAACAATAATTGTGATCATAAGGAACTCAATGATATAAAACTAAAGTGTGTAAGTGCAAACAATAAAGAACATCCACATATATGTGCAAAGTCACCAAAATCTATGTAAATTACTAACATAAAGATAATCAACAAGCTCCATAAACATGTGATGAAAAGTGTTTATATCCATCGTTCCCAGCCTGAACCGAATGGTCCACCACCAAAAGTCTAGAAGCACTTGTTCACCATCGCCAGAATGCTATTGTTATACTACAAGAAAAGTCATAGAGACCTTTGTGGTCACCCCAGACTGCCTTAATCGGCACCTCTCTCATCCCATCTCCTCCCCAAGTTTATAGAATGGTACTCCAATGGCAATTAAATGGCATA